AACATATATAGAAGAAGAATTCACCGAATTTTATATCCAGTCGTTCGATAAACAGAGTAATAACTGCAATAATTACGTCTTCTTCCTTTTTTTTTAATTAACATACAAATATACAGTGGATTTCATTTATTACGACCTTGGTTATAGCGACCAATTTGCTATAACGACATCAAACCTAAGTCCCTTGAATGTAAAGCATACTTTAGTACAAATTCATGTGACTATAGTGACTTCGGATGTAACACCGAGTTCGGATGTAGCAACTGTTTTTAATGAATCATTTGTAACAAATCCCTAATAATCCCATGCAGATATAGAGGCCCTATATTGGCTGCCAAAGACACAAAGACCTTTCTTATCATCTGTTTGCATCCACACAGATGGTCAGCAAGTGTAGTGACCTTTACCGTTTGTTCATAGATGTTAGCCGCTAAGCGTGTACGTTAGAATGGTTCAGTTACAAAGTGATATTCTGAATAGCAACTGTGTTCAGTAAACTTTTGAATAGTGAAAAGTATGACCCCCAGATGCAGATTTATACGTGTCTATTCACCTTTGCCTGTGATGTCTTGCGGATATAACGACGAAAATACAGTGGTCCCTTCGTTGTCGTTATAGCTGAAATCTACTGTACACACATATACATATTGATCACAAGATCACGATTATAATTTCGGTACACTGTACTGTAGGGAATCGCAGATTTGTAGATATAATTTATTCTTGATTAAATNTAAAAAATTAAAAGACTCACACTACCATTAGTTATGTTAGGTATGAGCAGTATTTTATATAAACCAATGTACTATAATAATAGTTGAGTACATTATGCTCACTTAAAAGGTCAGTTTATTAATTTAAAAATGGATAAAGTAAGGAAAAGAAAGGTCTTATTCCCAAAATGATTTTTTTAAACAGACTTAAAAAGAAAATATATATAAAGAACAATAGAGATCATAAGTGAGACAGCGCGTGCTTCGGTTAGAGCTCAACTATTACCATGTTTTCAAAAACACAACCAACTGTATTGTAGCTGTCGCAAAGGGCATACTAGTGAGGGTTTGCAAAAGAGAAAACTCCTGAAACACCGGATGACGGTAACTTTCTCATAATGCCACTCTAATGTTCCAGAAGAAACCTCTCAAAGTGAAAAAAAAACTAAAAGAACCTTTCGGGTATTTCATTCTCACTAGCTATTCATGGTGGGTGAGAAAGATGAGGCGGACGAAATGAAGACAGAAGAGAATGAAAGCAGCATTCGTCTAAGTGATCTAGGGAATCCACAGAAATAATTGGACCAGGACAGACTGACCCGGAATCGAACCAATGTCCTCTCGATATGAATACTAGGCAATTATTTAAACTTAAACCCTACTGATGCGCCGCCTTTTAGACCCAGTAAGGAGTATTTTTATAATTTGTGATTGAACCCGGGTTCTGCTCTCCATTTTCTTTATAGTGTTGCTGTAGTGCATAAGCACGAAATCAGCTGAGAGAAGATAATTGATGTTGGTACTTCAGTCAAAACTCTTATTTATCAGGCTAATCTGTGTCTGAACGTATGAACATTTCAGACTAGCCTGAGATGAGGTTGGCGTTAAGGTCGACTTCTAAATGGTATCGAAAATTAGCAATTGAACTGGTCGTAGGTTCCACATTCGTCAACGCATTTTTAGTTTCGCAGAACAAGATTTCCATCATTGAATTTGGAGAACAGCTTGCCGAAGAAACAAATAATCTGGATAATTTGTAAGAGAACTAGAAAAATCGATGTATGAGAACAAATAAAGAACAATTCGGTAGAAAAATTGCTCAAATTCAACAACCAGAAGAAGTGGTATTGTCCAGCTTACGACAAGAATTTTTGTGTTTCATTGATTTCTTTCTATTCATAACACAAACAAAATGTAAGATTAACACATCGCCTGAGTATTATTCTATTTTCATTTTCAAATTGTATTTAATTTTAAGAATAAATGATTATTTTACTATTTTGAAGTTTTGTCATAATTCATCATAAAAACTCTGTAAACATGTACAAATATTAATGAGCAGCTAATATTTATAAATTGTTCGCATAAACGGTGGATTTGAATGTCTAATTGTTTTAACATTGTGGTGAGGCGTCTAGAGTGTCATGCCTTCATATAGAATTTACGTACTGAAGCATTCATTGCAATGCTATATCCAGCGTGGTAAACACAAATCCAAGAATCTTAAAATCGTAATAAAAACTACTTCTCATAATACCTTTCTGTCCCAGAGAAAACTAATAGTAAAATAATAAAGAATCTCATTGCAATAGGAAACAGGACTTTTTAATTATTTTTACCTACTTTAATATTCAATAATCTACAGCAGTCGATTATCAAAACTTAGAGATCTATAAAGGTATCTATTTCTGTGTAATTAAAGTATTTCTCAGTTCATAAACCAAAATAAAAAAAAAAATGAATAACTGGCTAATAATTAATCAAAAGCAGTCTACCTTTTGCGTTTTGAGTTTATTCAAGTTATCAAAAAGTTTCTTGAGGTGGGGTTGAACTAATTCCGGTTTCTTTGAATTTCCCAATATTTCAAGCATATCGTCGTTTGAAATAAAGTAGAATCTTGGAAAGATATGCCTCTTCGTTTCTAGATATTGCTCTAATGCTCTCTGTATTAGTTCCAATTTATCGTTCATTTTGTTAAGTTTGTCCAAAAGGTATGGCGGGGGTTTATAATGTACTGCTTCAAGAATCGTTCGTGTTTCTGCTAAAACTATTGTGGTATCTGTCCATTCGCTTGTGATCATGTCAAATCTGTCAGCTTCAAGTGGCAGCTGCTTACGAATATCTTCCCCCGAGAAAATATTCTAGAATGTTAAAATAGTAATTGCATATTGTAATGTAAAGTCCCCCATTCGGATGTCCCTGACTTTAAATAAATAGAATACAGTAGTAATAATAAATGAAATGAAGCAGAAATAATTTAAATAGAAAATGGGGAAAAGCACGTAGGTGGAAAAAATATTTAGAAGACAAGGACACAGGACAAGAGTTAGGAAATGTACTAAAAAATGAATGTAGTGTGGAGATAAGAGAGCTAGGATGCCCCATAAAGACAGGAATAACTTAGGAATAAGGCGCCAGGTATAGATGGGATACAGAAGATCTTCAAATTTGCAGGGGAAATGGAAAATCCAGGAGAATAATAAACGGAACGTGGTTTAGCCACGGCAAAACACGAGGCGCGGATACATGCAACAAATTTAGAACAAGTACCTTAACTTCCCATACGTCAAAAATCTTTACAATCGTACAAAGAAGATGAAAAACACATATTTCGGTATCTGAAAAGCAAACAACTGCTGAAATGGTGGATAGGGGTTGCAACGTTTACATATTTTGTTTTTGGTCGGATTTGCTTGAAGTTTGGGCTAAATGCTCTTTGATAACAATTAAACAAACACGTATTTTAACCATTTTTTAAAAATCAACCTTTAAGTAGGGCTTCTACGTATGTATTTGAACAATGACAAAATTAAAACCCTATAGGGGTGATTAGGGGTTCCAAGGTTTTACGGAGAATAAAACGGTTTCGCCTCTTCAATGAAGCCGCGGGCAAAATGTAATATTGAATAACTTAAATGTATCATTCCTTTTTTAGCAAAAACCATACAATTAATTCATATAAATTTGGTATCATTATATGTATAAAGTGTTTCTCAAATGTGTAGCAAACATTGAAGGGTGTTAACTAAGTGTAACAGGAAATCGCATGGTAAGTAAAGGAGCATGATTAAGGGATAAAAAGAATTGTAAGAGAAATCAAGAAGTTACAATCTGAAGTCGGTCCTGGGCGTTAATTGGCAACACACCTATACAAAGAGTTGCAATGACAACTAAGCAGCTACATCGATGGAGATTGTAAATATAAACAGAATATTAGTATGCTACTACACATAAAAATGTTTTTAGACGCCCATTATGATAAAAATTAATTAAATAACAGCACTACTTACAGTACACCTCAACATGAGATTAATAACACGAAAGAAAAATAAGATTAACATTATCCTAAACATTAATAGCTCAATAAATATTTTTTGGATGGGTAATTGTGATTTTTATCAATTGTAAGACAAATTTTCACACCACCATTGAGATATTGCCAAAGTGTGTTACCTTTTTTTGTGGGTGGTTCACCAATAGCCCAATCCTTCCATTAGAAGAAATTATTTATACACAACACCGATAAGTACACGCATACATACATATACGTATGTGCACTCATCATTTGAAATTCGAACCCTGTGCTAGAAGGCATGCTTCAAGATGGCAACCAAAATTATCTCTGAGTCGCGCAAAAACGTCCGGCATTTAACGTATTTCGTTTGCTGCGATCATCACACGGTCGTGCAAATCATTGGCGTTCTGCACTGGAGTTTGAAACACACGCTGTTTCATACAACCCCAAACAAAGAAATCAAGGGTATTAAGATCCGGACTACGCGCCGGTAGAGATACAGGGCCCGTATGTCCAATTCAGTGTCTAGAAAATTGTTCATCTAAAAACGTCAGTGGGTGCACCATCACTCATTTAAACGCGCAGATAGAACAAACAGTTCAAATAGTGTATCTCCAAAAATTTCCGTACCACACATTTATTGAAAATCGTTGTGGAAATAGCGAGGATGCACGACATGGGGATTTGAGTCACATCAATAGTGAAAATTTAAAATTCCGTCCCTCATAAAACAGCATTCGTCTGTAAATTACACCAAGAGGAAGAAATTGAGGTCTACAGCATTTTTTTGTCCAAACCACTGACACAATTCCAATCGCGACTGGAATAAGAATGCAGCAACTGTTCCTTTAAAATTCGCCAAGAAGAACCATGCTATTTCTCGTATGCTACTTGGGGGTTGTCCTATACGAAATCGAGGATTTCGTTTACTAGAGCGGCGATATGTTTCGGGCGTCGACGTCCACGGCCTTCAGATTACCAGTTTCTCTTAATCAGGTTTGCCAATGACGAAATCTTCATTGGGGATATTGATGATGGTGCAATTCGACCGTTGCATTAAATTGTACTCGCATTACCCGTAAAGTAGTATCATGTCACAAAGTTCTACCGTACTGAACGCCATTCTAACAACTACTGCCAATTCGACTGACTACACGTGTAGCGTGCGTAACGCTAACAAACAAAGATGCAGACTCCAGTCTAACCGCAAGTATGCACCTGGATGATGAAGTGGCTACTACTACTATTTGTAAGTCTAATAAAATCAGACGAAGAAAAGTCTGTTTGCAAGACTCATTTATTTGATTATTTACACGGTATTTGTACAAAAGTATTTACATGGCTTAAATGTAAAGTGTTTGTCCAGCAGTTTGATCAGAGTTCGATGGTTGACCCAGTTTTGTCTATTGACGACGACGATAGAAATGCTCAGTCGCTTGCACACATACCGTATGTTTACGAACTGTATGTCATACTGAATGTATCCACAAGGCCCCTTCCATAGTGATCAGCGATACTGGTCACACTACTGGGATGTATTTGGAGAAGTGTACTCGACGTCCTAAGCAAGTTGCTCTTGTTGATTGTGCTGCGTCGTCGTTAGAGGCTAGTGTGGTCCCTCTGACATGATGTATGCTGGTTTAAGTCGGTAAATAGATTACAGTTTTCTCCTTGTTGGCCAACTGAACGTTGAATGTGTGGTCGTTCTTGCTGATAACTTTGAAAGGGCCGTCATAAGAGAATTATAGTTGGTTTTTAGGACCATTGTGTCGAATTAGTGGTTGGAAGTGTTAGCGAAGCTGTTGTATGTAGGTGGATGGACTGCTATTGGTCTGTGAGCTTAGTGAAGATAGGAATTCTCCAGATAAACGTAATGACTTTCCATATACCATGTCAGCGGCTGTTGCTTTCAGATGTTCCTTCCAGACTGCTCGGATGCCTTACAGAACAGTGAGAAGAATAAGAATATTCTTTAGAAGTTTAACATATCAAGAAATTGTTGCAATTGTTTTGCCTTACTCGGTTTTGGATAATTGATGATCTGTTAAAGGCCGTATACGTTTCGCTGAGTCAGAAAAGCCTGGGAAGGAAACTTCTTTTTCGCCAAACTTTCACTTTGATCTGTTTAGTAGTACACCATATGAGTTTAATCGCGTGAACACTATTTGTAAATGTTGTTAGTGCTGAGTTGCATATTCCGAGGCGACTAGGGTATCTGTCGGGAGCAGTTCATGCGTTGAGTAAGTTTCTCAAACTCTCTTTGGCTGCTGCAAATTGATCCAGAGGTAGACTGTGTGATCTGCAAGCTACAGAACGGCCAGGGGTATGCTTGGGGTGCATAAAGTGACTGCTGGAACGCAGTAGTAACGGAAATAATAAAGGTCGTCATATCTGGATGTGACGGATTTGTTATTCTACTGAGGATTGGCTGCAAACAGTCACCTTACCAGAGCTGGTGAGCTGGGTGAACTGATCCAGCAGACGTTGGTTTCTCAAATCTACGAATAATTCATAGTGGGCCAAGAAATCGGTGTCAATTATTGGTTTTTTGACATCCGCAATTATAAATCGCCATGGGAAATCTTTACGTAGGTATAAGTTGAAGGGCAGGTTGATGTAACCGTAGGTCCGAATGATGATGACATTTCCTGCTTGTAGCATGAATGGCGATTTCTGATGTGGCGCAGGTATTGGAGACTTCAGCACCTGATTCGACCAGGAATTGTAAGCATGTAACTAAGTCCGTAACGAAAAGACGACGTTATGTAGGGCGGATATAACTCGTCACCGCTAGTGATCTCCGTTGCGGTTTTCCGACCGCATTGAACATGGAGAGGCGCACTTAAAAGCTTTGTCATTGAAACTCCGATGATAATAACACTGACAGTTTGTCCAGTTATCACTGTTTGCGCGGCATTTCAGGGAAAAACCACGCGAACGCGACCATGATCGCGAGGGTCTTGACATCCGTCGTGTCCTATCGTTGAGATCCATTTGAGGGAATTGACCATTACTAGCAGATTCTGTATTGTAGGGCCATTATTGGGAGTTGAACTGGCTACAGCGTGTCCGTGGACCGAGTCAATGATGATGTCAGCAATTTCTGTGACGTCATCCAGATCGGCTGGAAGTGGGTTAGAAGACGACCAGACTGACGACCAGCGCAGAAAGCTGCGATAACGATACCCCCTAAACTATGAAAATGGCGTAGGAACTGAGAGGGTTTGCGCTCGCCGAGTGCTTCCTGTTCGAGTAGTTGCTTGATGCGTGCTTCTTGTGAAACACCAAGTCGTTGAATGTATGTATCTTCCTTCAGAGGGTTGACGATGATGTCACGTACTTCTGCGGCATATCAGGGATCAAGATTATCAAGTACATACCCAAATTTGGTAGCTTTCGAAGTGATCGCAGAGGCATCGAAACTGCGATCTGCCATGCAGAACCACAACTTCGGTTCGGATGGAACAATGGGTGGCAATTTGACTGCCAAGCGGTCCACGGATGCTGGGGTAGCGGCGCGAGTTGCCGTATTAATGTGGTGATGCAGGAGACGACGATATTGCCAGTATGGAGCCCAGATACAGTTTGTGATCCATAGGACGTGCTGTAGCTTATTGCTTCATTGGATGGCGCAGCTTAGCGTGCGCAACGCTAACAAATCGGAAGCTGGATGATGAAGTGACTAGGGCTATTTGCAAGTCCGATAATCAGATGAAGACGAGTCTGTTTGCAAAACTTATTTGTTTAATTATTTTCACGGTATTTATACAAAACTATTTACATTACTTAAATGTAAAGTCTTTGTCCTGCAGTTTGAGCCGAGTTCGATGGTTATCCAAGTTTGGTCGATCGACAGCGACGATAGAAATGCTGAGTCGCACTCACACATACCGTATGTCTACGATCTATATACTATACGGAGTGTTCCCAGACCCACATACACGTTTACAATATTAAAAGATAGAAAGCTAAACTTAATCTAATCTTACAAATAACAAACAATGCATGAGTACAAAAGTACAAAACAAGCGCAACACCGATACTGCTAATGACCAGCTAATCTAATGCGGTGTTGAGTTATTATTGTTCCTTGTGTGATCCTATTAGGGCCGAACTGACCTCTACCTGTATTTTCACATACGTTTTTCCACCACCACCACCACCACCAAACATTTACTTAATTTTCTAGTATTATAATACCCTACCACCTCCTGCATGCTTTCCACTTATTTCAGAAACACCATCTATGCCTAATGATACATTTTTTTTTGTTTTAAATGTAATTTGAATTGAAAGAGTTCATTTTGATAAATTTAAATAACATATCGTCATGCGATACTTTAGAATACGTCAATACTGATGATGATGATTTAGAATTAAACTACTAAAAATATTTACAATCGTATTAAAATCAATACCTCTAAATATAGCCATTGCCTTTGCACTAATAATGCACATTCACATACTTCCATGATGTACGAAAGTGCTCTTTCCCAGTAATCTACTTCTCTTGCAAAGGGTTCTACAAATCTTGTACTTTTCATTGTTGAAAGTTGGGTCATATTTTCTTCAAGAATTTGAAAACATTCGTCAACGGATTTTATCCTACAAGAATAAAACGTATGAGTAGAAATTTTAGATTTTTAGGTAAATTCTTTTTCGATTTTTAATACATAATCGATATAAGTAAACGACATGTCTTCACAGAGAAATATTTCACGTGAGTCAAATCAACTATAAGCATGTAGCATAACAAAGGAGACCCAGCTTCATTTAATTTTATTACTAATTTTAATAAAGGTTTGTGCTCATTAAACAGTGTAATACAATATGGGACTGGTGAAGTCAATTAACTGAAGCTTACGATAGGAGAAGATAGCACGAACAAAGTAATATCAGTCACAGTCATGATATAGTCATATCCTTCGGAACCATTTCCTATTTAACAAATAAATTCGAAGTGGTCAGTATTCTGTCGAAACTGCCAGACGCGGATCGCGATTTCTATCTTTTTGGATCTCATCAGCGCGTCGCAAACAGTTTCGACAGAACACAGACCAATTATTACCTGCTGTCTTAAAAACGTCTTTTATAAAATACCACAAATGGCGCAGTAAATACCATGTGTAGTACAAGTTCAGCAAGTAGATATCCATCTATTTAAATGGACCTTGTTGAGCATAATGAATTCCACTAAATGTAGCATTGTACTACAGATGACATTTACCGCGTCATTTGTGGTATTTTATAAAACGCGCTGTTAAGACAGCAGATAAAAATTGGTCTGTGTTCTGTCGAAACTGTTTGCGACGCTCTGATGAGATCCAAAAAGATCGAAATCGCGATCCGCGTCTGGCAGTTTCGACAGAATGCTGACCACTTCGAATTTATTTGTTCGATTTTGATAACGTGCCTATCACGAGTGGTGAGCTACGTCGTGAATTCAGTTCAGTGTAGCATTGTACTACAGATGGCGTTTACCGCGCCATTTGTGGTATTTTTTACATTCCTATTTCTTAATCTTTACGGTGCGAAAGGGTTAAGTACCGCATAAAGGATATATCATTGATGTTACCTATTCTAATAATAATACTTAAATGTAACAATGAACGTACATAGTTACAAAATATAACGTAACAAAAATATGATTTAACCAAAAGAAATGTTGTGGGAGTAACTAATACCAGCATAATTATAGAACTTATAAGAAGCAAACATGAAATTATTTAGGTATAAATCCCCTAAAAAAGGAGGACACAAATAGACACTTACCTGTAAAGGCCCTTTCGTTCATGAGGTACCATTTCAATTGTCATCGTTTTCCAAATGAGGGCTATCGCTTCCAGTCCTCTTTCAATTTGTAATTCCATTGTTGCCGCATTGGATATTTCATTTATATCTTCAGCATAGTTCTGAAACTCCATTGCAATAATTGCTTCCAAATTAAAATCGCTTGAATTTTCGTCAAAATCCTTTCCAACAGTTTTTCGAACTCGATCCCAATGTCTGGATCGCATAGCAGGGTTTTTAAGGTCGCCTATAAGCGGCAGGACTCTTCTAAATGCATCGACTTTGTCTCTCGTTACGAAAACTATATCCCACCTTTATAAATAAAAATATTTATGATAAAATAAGAAAAAGCTCATGTTTAGTAAAGAAAAGGAAGAAAGTAACTGTGTAATACTTATTAATTTTATGTTGTAAATGCCTCTTTATTTGTTAATAATAACGTTACCCTTTATCTTTTAGTTCTCGGGATAGTCTGTTAAGTTTTCTGAAAAGAGTCTGAGCTTTATCTTCCATTTCTGTAGTTTGAATTGTCCAAAATCCACCTGATTTGTAGGATTCCCAAGCAGTTTCCCATTCATCCGCCAGATCCCAAACATACTCCAAGGTTGCCAATTCCTAAATTGAAACATAAAAACTAACTATAAATATAATATTCACAAGCGACAAATAGATATCCGCAGTGTCGTACACGGGTTTGCAACATTGTCATACATTCAATATTAATGTCGAAATTAGGTAAACGCATAATGATACACAAACAGGGAAGCAATGCCCTTGTTAAAATGCATGTGCAACAATCAAGCTTTAATAACGTTACATAAAAGTGATAAAAGTGTGCAAGGACGCTGACAAAGAAATGGCCCTCATTAGTCAGTGGAAATAATGATGTAAATAACATTGCTTATCAATGGCGTAGGATTTCTAATAGAAAATGAATTGCATTACAAATATTGTCATCGTACAGATATTGTTATTGTTATTTTCGCCACCACGGAATGTATACCTTCATTGCTCAATTTATGGAAGGGTTTAAGAGAACTCAAAGGCCACTAGTGTTAAAACGCTCTCTACAAGAGTGTCGTAGTGTCACACACACAGAGATGTTAACTCTGGTATTGACTAAAAATTTCTGGCGTGTGATTCTCTCTATAACAAATATGTGACGTTACGTTGTGTGGACCTCACTTATCGCCATAAATCGGTCCAATGGAGAGACAATCGCACTTCCAGATTGTGCAATCACAATCTCTTCTTTCGATGAGGAGGAACCCACAAGAGTGTCAGTCGGGGAGAAGAAAATGCACGAATCAGAGTTTTTAGCAGGACCAACAACAGTGGGTGTACGTTAAATAACTCACGCAGGACATTGTTGTTCATTACTCGTAGTCTGTTTTGTGGGGGTCACTTCTACAGTCGTTTAATGTCCAGAACGTCTAACATAAATTCTGATTTTGACAAGAATTGACTTAAGACTAGCACTGGGCACTTATCAGCATCAGGAGATAATAGTTTGACACAATTTCAGCATCTGAAGGTTGGTACTATTTCAGCATCCGAAAAGAATTGAGCTTTTGTGTTACTCTAACTTACTGAGTATTTTTACAGCTATTTATAGTAAAATTAATTATATGGGTCTTATGACAAAGTCAGTTCAGCATATTAAAATGGTGTATGTAAATCTCTCTGATTCTAACGAAGTTAGCAAAAATTAATCAATTGTAGTTTTTAAACTTTTAAATGTACTATACCGAGTGTTCCCACATTAGTAGTTGGCAGTTGATGCCTCCAGTTCTGATCTATTTTATCTGTTTTGGACCTAGAGCAGTGTCAAATCGTGAATATTTAGAAGAGTTTTTAATGAATGTAATTACCCTACTTAAAATTTCAGCCTGTCTGATGAAGTTCGGGAAATCCGAGCGGAACGTTGTACAAATGCAGACATGTTTTCTACAATATTGTCTGTATCCTTTCTGTACTCATCAAGGTCCACATTTCTACCCTATGTATATGATTATATATATATATATTTT